TCCAATCACTATGTCATACACCTGAAACTAATGTGATATTGTATGTCAACTGTAATTTTTATGCTACTTCCTGTATTAATTTTTAAAAATTTATCTTTATTGTTGAAAGGATTACAGATGTTCCTTTTTTCTTCAATGACCCCTCCACTTTGCCCCTGCCACTCCTCCTCCCCCCCCCCCCTCAGGCCTTCACCAAAGAAAAAGAAAGAAAAAGGCGTTTTCTGTACAATATGCAAGACTTGAGCATGTAAAAAATTCCATGGGAATCTCTTGGCCCAGACTGAAATTGAGTAAAAGAAAAATTAAACTATTTTTTAACTTAATAGTAAAATTAAAAATTTGGAGGACTTTTTAATGCTTTTATAAAGAAAGAAAGAAAATCTTGATTTATGTAATTTTCCTCTTCTCCCCAAATATCCCATGTCTGATCCAATGTCTGGGTCAGACTCTAAGCAATGAATTGGCTGAAAATAAAATTCCTGTTAAGATATTTCTTTAACTTACAATGGCATTTTTTGGAGCTCAAAAAAAAGAAAAGATTCTGAAATGAACCTGAAACAATAAATGTGAAAAATAATTAGTAGAAATAAGAGCAAAGAGAAAGGACTTGCCTTAATAATATTAAATACCTTACTAACCATATGAATATTTTTAAAGGATGGTGCTTACATAGCATTTAGCAGATCAAGTCACAAAAGTATGGAAACAGATCCATGTTAATGAAACTTCATTATATCACAAAGGTATAATGTTGGTGAAGATTACTAAAAATTTGTATTGGAATATTGGTTAATGAAAGGATTTTTCTCATTCTGTCCACCTTTATTAGTGGCATTCTTCTGTGAAGAGAGTTTTCCTTCCTCACTGGCCCACCCATAAGACTCATGGACTATTTTCTATTCAATATGTTTTTTTTTTAGTCCCGCCCCTCTATTCAATATGTTGATATTCAACTACAGTCATTATTCTTTCAGATGCTCAGATTGATTCATATTAACAGGCACAATTCAAATGAACATTACAGGGATTTTTACCTTCTTGTCTTATTTTATATTTTAGAGTGAAAATATTTGTTTCTCATAAGAAGGGCATATTTATTTAGTTATTTGCCTTTTCCAAAAAATATAAATTATTTGAAATTATAATCCAGTATTATAACTAATAATAAACACACTTGAGCGGCGTTCCCAGTTTCTTTTCAGTTCTTTTATACTTTTAGTACATTTCCCTAAGAAGGTACACAGTACTTTTCCAAATTGACAGGAGTCTTTTTAAAGTGTGGCTATGCTATCATTTTGATGTACTTTAGGTTTATTTGTTCACTTTGTATTCAGTTTTAGGAATTGCTTTTTCCCCCTTTTCAATTTAAATTTATCTTTGAATATATGTCATTGACATGGCTCAGAGTCAAGATCATGTAAGAAGGCAGAGTTTATGGTTCACATTCACCCCCTGTAGGTAACCACTTTTACCATTTTTATTAGTTTCTGGTTTATCCTTGTTTCTTTTTGCAAAAATGAGCAAATATGTATAGATATTCTTATGTCGCCTTTCTCACACAAAAGGTAGAATTCTATATACACTGTTCTGCACCTCTCTTTTTTCACTTGCAATATATCTTGGGAATTATTCCATCTCAGTTCATAAAGATCTTTCTACTTCTTTTTTTAAATTGTTGCATAGCCATAGACCCACATATTCCATCATGTGGCTATAGCATGATTTAGTCAGCAAGTCTCCCATCAGTACATACTTGGGCTACTTGCAATTTTGTACTGTTTATTGTAAGTACAGTAACCTGGTGCTTACAATGTTTTAGTACTCGTGGACATAGATCTTCAGGGCAGATTACTGGAAGAGGTTTTGCTGGGTCAAAGGGAAATTGCTATTTGCTTTTTTTTAAAAGTATATTTTTATTGATTTTAGAGAGAGATGAATGGAGAAGGGAGAGAAACATTAATTGGCACCCCCCCCCCACTGGGTATGGAGCCCACAACCTGGGCATGTGCCCTGACTAGGAATCAAACCAGCAACCTTTCGGTGCATGGAACACTGCTCAACCAACCTAGCCAAACAGCCAGGCCTCTATTTATTTTTGTTAATTTTTTCTAAATTCTCCTCCATAACAGATGCACAAGTTTTCACCCACCAGAAAAGTATGGGAGTATGAATTTAATCACAATCCCCCAAATGAACATGTTTGGATTTTTCCCCATTCAAAATGGTGAGAAAGTGTGGTTTAATGTGCATTTCTCTAAAAACAGTGAGCATTTTTCTATGTTTAAAGGCCACCTGTCTATCTTTATCGGTGAGCTGCCTGCTTTGTTTGCTCAGGTTTCTATGTTTTTCTTCTTAACTTTTAAGATTTCTATACTAGGAGATTATCCCTTTATAATTAAACTGAAAATATCTTCTCCCAGTTTGTTATTAATATATCCTCTGCTCACTTTTGTTGCCATTAGGTTTGCTTTAATTGTCATGCTGTTGGCTTGGTCTGTGTTTTTATTTGGCTGCTCTGCATTTTGAGTCACAGTTGGCTTTCTCCGCTCCCAGACTGTAAAGGAATTCACCCACGCTTTCTTTTAGCACTGCCTGCATTTCTTTACATTTGGATCTGATACTTGTTGTTAATCTGGTGTGTGGCATGAGGTATGGATCCAAATTTATCCTCGTCCAAATGGCCATCCAGCTGTCCCTCCACCGCTATGGAAGAATCTGTCTGTGCTCGGGGACTTGAGATGCTCCCTTCATCAGAAATCAAGTTCTATGTGTATTTGGGCTGTTTTCTGGGCCTTTGATCATGTTTTGTGTGTGTGTGTGTGCGTGCGTGTGCATGTGTGAGCGTGTGCGTGCGTGTGTGTGTGCGTGCGTGCGTGCGTGTGTTTGTTGGTCTGTCTCCTCAGGCAGCAGCACAGTCTTCACCATTGATGTTATTGTGTAGGTTTTATCTGGTGGGCTGCTTGCCCGTGACTTTTCTTTTTTTTCAGGGCTTTCTTTATTATTCATGCATGAAATTTAGAATCAACTATCTAGCTCTAAAGATTATTGGTATTTTTATAAGAATTGCATTACATGTATATATTAATTTGGGCATAACTGGCATCTTTATAATGTCAAATCATCAATAGCAAAAAAAATCTCTTTTTGTGTCTTCTGGAACCACTTTCAGGTTTTGCACAGATCTTGTTAATTTTATTCTACAGTGTTTTCATCTTATTTATGGCTGCGGAGTCTTTTCTTTCACCTGACATCATGTCTTCCAATTGGTTATCCGAAGTTTTTTTCTTTCTTTTTAAAAAAAAATATATTTTATTGATTTTTTTTTAACAGAGTGGAAGGGAGAAGGAGAGGGACAGAGAGTTAGAAACATCGATACAGCTGCCTCCTGCACACTCCCTATTGGGGATGTGCCCGCAACCAAGGTACATGCCCTTCACCGAATCGAACCTGGGACCCTTCAGTCTGCAGGCCGACACTCTATCCACTGAGCCAAACCGGTTAGGGCCAAAGTTTTTTTCTTAACAGCTCCTCAGGTGATTTTAAGATATAGCCAAATTGAAAACCACAACTTATTACGAAAATTCAGTGTTGTTCTTTGATACACAGGCTATGGCTCAAATCGTAATCAGCCCCTTCCCCCCACACTGGCCAACTTTCTTCCAGATGCCCTGCGATCAGGGTGCTATATGTTTTCCATTTCACCCCTTGGCAGCCTCCTGGTGATCTTTGACCTTTACCTTCCACACCCACATGCAGCCAGTGGGCTAGTTTACCTGTTTCTTTCTCTATGGCCTTGTCCAGCCTCCTGCATTACATTTCATTCCTATCCTCCGACCCCTTGGCAAGGCTCTGGGCCAGGTCTGCGTCTTTACTGCCTCCTTGCCCTCCGAATAAAATAACTGTCTTCTCCCTCCCTGCTCAAAGCAATCTGCCCTGCTCCCATCACGCTGCTCCATGCTCCCAGCCACAGGCCCATGAGCCATCCAACCCCTGCCGGCTGGGACTGGACGGCAGCAGGGCCCACCTGCGGCAGGGATTCCCTCCTCTTTGCCAGCCCGAGTGGCTCAAGCCTTGCCCACCGCTCATCTTTAGTCCTTGCCGTGGGTTTCCCTGTCTGTGGAGTTATCTCTGCACTGGCCACCTTTGAGCACCAGCTCTCCCTCTCACTTGCAGGTTGAATTGGGACGTTTTCAGTAAGTTTGCTCTGAGTGACTTCACAAACAGGTGGCTCACTCCCTAGTTCCTGACCATCCCTCCCTGAACCCCCCCCCTCCCCGCCTCCAGGCAGCTAGCAGGAGGGTCCACATCTGAGTGGGTGAGCATTTACGGTGCTTTGCACTTGCCTGTACATTGAAATTTTTCATAATAGAAAGTGGGGAAAAGGGGCGTTTGTGGAATTGAATTCAAGGGGCAGTAAGACCTCTGCTTCCATTTCACCCTGGGCTGTGGGCATTGGCAGCGGTCTTGGCTCAGAGTAGCTCCTCGTTTCCCAGACACTCAATTCCCTCCCAGTGGGACGCCAGGAAGGCACTGGGGCTGGGAGGCATCTGCTCCCGAGGAAAGCTGACTTCATGCTCCGGGGACAGTGGCCTGAGCACGCGGTGCACAGCCCGAGCCCGTGGCCACGCGGAGCAGGGGTGGCAGGTGCGGAGGACAGTTTGGGAGGAAGAGTGGGGTTGGGGAGGGGGCGCAGCGGCCCCCCACTTACTGCCTCCGGAGCCAGTGAGCATTCCTGAGACAATACGTGTTCTTTCCAGCTCATCCAAAAATAAATGCAGCTCTCTGCCCGGCTGTGGGGATTAGCTCTGGCTGGGGGATGGCTGGACCAACAAGGGCTCCTCCTGGTCCCCCAAAGCTGGCTAATAATACACGGCTAAGCCATCTGACCCGGTGATCCCGGGAGGAACCCAACCAGCAGAGGACCCAGCTAGCCCCTGAGGACTGCTGCCCTTGAAGCAACAAGAGGTTCTCTTCTTTGATATTTTTCTCTCTCTGGGGCCAGCACACAGTAGGTGTCTCATTAATGTCCCCACACCTCTTTGAGTAACCTCCATACCTGGCTTGGTAAGGGCGGGAGCAGGCAGTCCTTATTCTTAAGTGGGGACCATTGACACACAGCTCTCTTTCGCATTAACAACCAACGCTTGCCCACTGGCTGCTCCCAAGGATTTGATCAGAAAACGTGGGGTAAAACAAGCGAAAAGTAGAATGGCACGGACGAAAGCTTCAACTAAACCCTTGCTCTTCTCTGAGGCTTTTTTTTCCAATCCTGATTTAGCAACAACCACACTTGTAAGACACCCCCACACCCTCCCGTGCTCTGCAGGCCACCGCTGTCCCCCGGCCCCCCGCCTAGGCCAGCAGCTGGTTTTTCCGAATCGGTCATACGTCTTGGTAACAACAGGGCCTTCACAGCTGTTGCTGGGAACACTAGCGGGTGGGATAGCGCCCAGCACTAATTTACTGGTCCTACTGGTGCTTGAGAAACGATCACATTGATATGCTGCTAGTGAAACGGAAAGGTGCACAGGGAAAGGAGAAGAGGGCGGAGCGGGGAGGGAGGGAAGGAGAATTACTCCTGTTGCTGTTGTTCCTCGCATAAGTTTTATAATCACACAGTCCTGTGTTGTGAGAAAAGTCTACTCAAATCTCCAGGAGGATGGGAACGTTTTCAGTTTCGTTCATTCTCCTGTAAGATGAGGTTTCTGCGGCCAGTCTGACTGCTCTGTCCTGGGCAGGGCTCCCCTGATGTCACAGCTGGTAGCTGCCTGCGCGGTGGTCCGGCAGGGCCTCCCCAGCCAGGCTGGTCCGTCACGTCGCCAGCCCCAAGTTCAGCAAAAGGCATCCCAAACTCCCAACCTTCTATAGTTGGAAGAATGGCTATAATCCTGCTCATTTCTATATATACCTTTCCCCTGGCAGCGACGCCAAAAAAATGGGAGGCAGGAGCTGCTTCTCAGCCGGTGGTGTGGTCATTCTCTTTCCAAATATAGAGAAGGAATGAGCCAGGGGGGTCAGTGGGGCCTATAAAAGCGCAGCCAGCAGCAGCCCCTCGTAGCTGCTCTCGTGGGCGGAGGTAAGTCACAGCCCTCTGGCATGGCTCTCGCCTCGGTGTGGCCGGGCCTTGCCTGGCTTTGCTAAGGAACTGTTAGATGTGAAGGACAGGTCCTCCTCCCACCTCCCCTCCCCATCACGGGCAGGATCCCTGGACTCTCCATGACCTCGGCCTGTCCAGCGGGGTGACGCTCTCCCTTTGCCTCTCTGAGTGGTGCAGGGACCACGGGATGCGGTGCCTTCCTGGACTCTCTCCTTCCCCACCTACATGTGTGCCTGTCACATGTCCTGTCCTCCCAAGACCAACCACACTGTCCGGGTGTCAGTCTGCCGGTCTTAGAGATTTCTCCCTGCCCCAGGCCTAGAACCACAAGCTTTTAGACAGAGATGCTGTTTTACTGTCCACTTCTAATGGGAGGCATTGCAGACTGAACAACGGCCCAGAGTGGGCTGGTAAGGGCCAGGTTGGGGGTAGTGGGGCTTTTACTACCTTAATGGCTTACGTGTGGGTCCTGTCCCATCTGCTCCTCCAGCTTGTCTCCGGGGTAAGTTATTAGTCCTTTCTCCTTATTTACCTAATTTATCAAGAGCTGAATTGAAGCTGGACCGGACGCTGCCAGGTGCCCTGAGCTTTCCTCTCACGTTCTTTGCAGGTCTGATTTCCCGGGCTGCTGCGGCCTCATTGTCTGTCCTGTGTCTGTGACTCTCGGGTGAGAATTCTGGCCACGTCCCTGGCTGGCGGGAACCTGGGAGCTCAGACCAGGACAGGGAGGCTGGGAGGAACGGAGGGGCAGCACTTAGGAGGCCTCCCGAAGGATGAGAGGTCAGACGGGGCTGCTGTTCTCAGCAACTGGAGGAAGCCCCGCGGCTTTCCTTGAGGGAGAGGGGGTGGCCACCTTCGTTCAAAATGGTCCCAAAGTTCCTCAGCTATTTGTGACTGAGCAGGATCCCTTTGAAGAACGGCCTTTGTGTTTTATGGTGTTTATTCTAAAGCTTCCCTGGGCAACACCTGGGTTTTAAAGGAAGTGAGGTCCCGAGGGGCTGGGCTCACCTCTAGTTCCCTCAGCCAGCCGAGCCTCAGATGACGAGGAGACGGGTTACAAGCTCCGCTGATTTTCCCAGCACTTAGGTCTGTGGGTGGGGCTCCTGGGACCGAGCACAGCCTGTCCGGAGCCATCGTAGAGCAGAGGCGGGCAGGCCGGGGGCCTGCTGGGAGGCAGCGGCTCACGGTGGCTTGCCTTGCAGCTGGCGCCATGAGCAGCGACACTGAAATGGAAGTGTTCGGCATGGCCGCTCCCTTCCTCCGCAAGTCAGAAAAGGAGAGGATCGAGGCGCAGAACCAGCCCTTTGATGCCAAAACCTACTGCTTTGTGGTCGACTCGAAGGAAGAGTACGCCAAGGGGAAAATTAAGAGTACCCAGGATGGGAAGGTCACGGTGGAAACCGAAGACAACCGTGTAAGCCCCGCCCAGGCCCGTATGGCCTCCTGGCTCTCCGCCTGCTCCTCCCGGCCTGGTCCATGCATCGCCCCGCCCGGCCCTGCCCTGCCCCAGGTGGCCCTGGCGCCAGTGCGCCTCTCACAGCCTCACTGAGAGCTTCCTTGGCGAAAGCACAGCACATGCCGGTGCAGGCGGGAGACCTGACGCGGCTGATGAGAGCAGTCAGTGCCCACGCGGCTCTAAGTCAGAGGGCCCGGATCTGTGCATCCCGAGGGCATGGGCCTGGGAGCCCAGGAGTAGGCAGGCCCGTTTAGAACACTCTCCTTTGGTAGCTTAGGTTTGCCCCTGATTCTTCTAGCAACAGCTGTCTCCCCAAGAAAGTAAGGAAAGTGGGTGAGGGGCCCTAGCCGACCACAGCTCAGTGTGAAACCGCAGCCTCCCATGTCTCATGAGCAGGCAGCCCGCAGGCCTAGGCCATGCGCGAGTGTTAAAAGGAATGCTGGACGTCAATAATTTCTGGAATCAAGACCAGAATCTAGAAGAATCTGGAATGTTCCAAAAAAGTTAAAGGTAAAGACAGGAAAAATAAAATCTGAAAGAGAAAAGGGGAAGAATAGCATCTACTGTAGGTGTCCACACCCAAGTAGGGAGTGACTGATGTAGAAAGGCATTGAAAGTGCCCCTCAGGGCTGCAGGCCCGCCCTCCCGCGGGGCTCTCTGTATTGCTGATAATGGAGCTGAGCTTTCCTGGAGCTGGGCTCGCAGAGCGGCAGGAAAGACGGGGCCAGCGTGAAGGATGACCATCTAAGACAAGCCGTCCATCTGGCTGCACAGGGGCCGAGGGAAGCTCTGCAGGAAAGGCAGGTGTCCACTGCCTTGTCCAGAGAGGACCAGAGCAGGAGTCATGTTCAAAGGTCTCAGAGAGAGGAGGTGGGCAGGGCAGGGGCAGGAGCGGCTCTGTGCCCAGGAAGCCTGCGGGCACGGGTCAGCCTTCTCCTCCCGGGAACCGCAGACACAAGCTAGGGGCTGGAACCAAACTCTGCCTCATGGTCCCCTAACCTGGCGTGAGAGGTGGAGGAGGGAGGAGGTGGAGCATGGGGGGGTGGTGGTGAAGGGGCCAGCTTCAGACCCTGCTCAGGGGCTGGACAGCTGCTCTGAGAGCCCTGGGTATGGTGATGCTGGGGGCCAGCCTGCTGCTCTAGTGCCACCTCCTCTCCTCCATCCTGGTCTCAGGGACGGTACACACGCCATTCTGAGTAAACAGGAAGGAGCCCGCAGTGGGGTCCTGCTGGGGTCCTGTGGGGAGTTCCTCGCTACTCCCGCTGTCCCCGCACCTGCCCAGAGGCCCCGCCCTCGCCTCCAGGCTTTGGCAGAGGCCCCGCCCCAGCCCTGCGTGGCAGAACCAAGTCTCCCGCTGCCAGCACCCTCGCCACCTGCCCCCCACCGTGTCTCCCTCGCTGCCAGCGGGCGTTTTCCTTGGCGCTCGCTCCGGACCGCGGCTCACCAGCCTCTTCGCGGGAGACATGTCCGCAGGGGGCACCCGCGCAGAGACCCGTGGTGAGCACCGCGCCTCTCCCCTTCCAGACCCTGGTGGTCAAGCCGGAGGACGTGTACGCCATGAACCCGCCCAAGTTCGACCGGATCGAGGACATGGCCATGCTGACGCACCTGAACGAGCCGGCCGTGCTGTACAACCTCAAGGACCGCTACACGTCCTGGATGATCTACGTCTGTGCCGGGCGCCCCGGGGCTGTGGGTTGGGGCGGGTGGGGGGAGAGGCCTGTGCGGGGATGGGATCTGGAGAGATTCCTGTTTGACTTAGCTGTTGAACAAAAGACGGGAAATGGAACCAAGAAGAGGAAAGGGGGAAGAGAAGCTGGAAGATGAGAAAGCGAGGATGAACGGGACAGGAAGGAGAGGGGCCGGAGGAAGGAGGGCGGAGCAGGAGGAGCCAGCGGGGAGCAGGAACCCCAGGCTTTGGGTCTCAGCTGTCACTCACCAGCTGTGGGCGGTCCAGCCACGCCCCTGCTTGAATCTCAGGGGCCTCACCTACAAACAGAAATTACATGTTTCCTCCTTTACTAATTTATTGTAAAAAAAAAAAAAAAGTGAAAAAATAACAAAGGCAGAGGTTTTATATACATACACATGCATATATACTTTTAACCCTCCCACAGACCTACTCGGGCCTCTTCTGTGTCACCGTCAACCCCTACAAGTGGCTGCCGGTGTATAATGCAGAGGTGGTGTCTGCCTACCGAGGCAAAAAGCGCCAGGAGGCCCCGCCCCACATCTTCTCCATCTCTGACAACGCCTATCAGTTCATGCTGACTGGTAGGTTTCTGGGAGGAAGCCTGGAGTGGTGAGCAGGCACTGGACAGGGCTCCCGAGGAGCACCACGTGGTCCTGAGCCTGCCCTATTCGGCCTGTGACCTCCAGCACAAAGGAGAGACCGGGAAAGATGCTTAAAGAGCAGAAAGGGGCCAGTTCTCCGAGCCCCAGCAAGCCCTGGTGGGAAGTGTGCATTTAATGCAAGTATTGGTTAAACCCCGTGAAACTAAGATTTCTATGGGCCAAAACATTATTGACAATCTCATACGGTTCAACCCAATACAATCAGAAGCCACTGCCCTGGACACGCCACTGGCTGGTTTTAAGCAGGGGCTTAACCCCTCTGAGCCTCATTCTCCAGCTCCCACATTGGACTAAACCAGTGGTCAGCAAACTGCGGCTTGAGAGCCACATGCGGCTCTTTGGCCCCTTGACTGTGGCTCTTCCACAAAACACTGACTTCTGCGCATGGGCCACAAAGTTTTTATCGCACTGTACATGCGCGCCCGCACGTGGTATTTTGTGGAAGAGCCACACTCAAGGAGCCAAAGAGCCGCATGTGGCTCGTGAGCCGCAGTTTGCCGACCACTGGACTAAACTAACTGCGAGAGGGCAGAGGAACTGTGCATTGAACCGTGACTGCTTGAGAGGTGGGGCAAAGGGGGAAGCTCTTTATATATTGCCATCAGCTCCGTTTTATTTTTGCTTTTGGCAGATCGTGAAAACCAGTCCATCCTGATCACGTAAGTGTCCGGGCGCAGGGCAGTGTCAAAGCCGTGGCTGCTGTCCCCGGGGCAGAAGGCAGCGGCGCCACGTGCTCTGTTCTGTCCACTGGAAAGTATTGAGAACAAAGTCCAAGCGAAAGATCGACGTGGGGCGGGCGGGAGATACGTGGGAGGCCTCAGAGCACTGGGTTGCCCATCCCTGGGTCAGCTCAGCCGTGGGCTTCCCTGGGCCTCCGCCTCTCTGTGTGGTGCACGTGTGTCTGACGTGGCTCCGAGTATGTCCTGGCCTCCATGCGGCATCTTGGAGAGACCGTCTATGCTAACAGAACTGGTTTCTCTCTCTCTCTCTCTCCCAACAGCGGAGAATCCGGGGCAGGGAAGACTGTGAACACCAAGAGGGTCATCCAGTACTTTGCAACAATTGCAGCGACTGGGGACCTGGCCAAGAAGAAAGACTCCAAAATGAAGGTGAGGAGAGGAGCTGCGTTTCCATGGCTACCCGTTGTCTTAACTTCCCGGTGAGGGCACAGAGGCGAGCAGGCCAGGAGTTAACCCCGAAGGACAGCAGCATCTTAGGTGGCCTGTGCAGGGCTGATGGCACAGGACCAGACCCTGTCACTGTTCTGGAAAGGGCGGCTCTGAGGAAGGTCTGCTGGGAGCATTGAGGGAGCTCCTTCTTTTATGGCAGAATCCATCCTCCCTCTCGAGAGAACTGCAGCGTGTACTCCCTTTCTAAATGAAAACATTACAACGGTTAGAAGTGAACCAGACACCCTAACTGACTGGAGAGTCAAGGAATGCGGTATTAAAAGAACTTCAGGCCAAGTCCCTCACTATAGACACAGAGCAGCGTGGCAAACGGGTGCTGAGTGAGGCGTGCTGTTGATTTGCTTAGGCCTCAGTTGGCAAGGGGGAGGGAGGGACTGGCTGTGCCCTGACTGCCAGGCACAGGGACAGGCAGGAGCGATGCGGGGGGCGGGGGGGGGGAAGCATTGCTTACCGCCGTTCTGCGGCTCCTTCCTCCCCTGCCCCGTGCCCAGGGAACTCTGGAAGACCAAATCATCAGTGCCAACCCGCTGCTGGAGGCTTTCGGGAACGCCAAGACCGTGAGGAACGACAACTCCTCCCGCTTTGTGAGTCCGAGTCCGGATACGCTGCGGCTTTCTCTGCGGCTTATGAGATAAGCAAGGTCCCGTCCTCACAGAGGTTACAGTCGGAGGGAAGAGACAGTGAAAGAACAAAACAAATCAGCAAGATGATTTCCGATAATGATACATTCGTATAAAGTTCAACAAGCAGGGCCTGTGATCGGGTAATGGGGCAGGGTCTCCTTCAACAGTGTTGGCAGGGGAGGCCTCTAGGTGGGGGAGGGGGGGCCGTGAACCCTGAGCTCTGCAGGGTGAGGAGGAACAAAGGACAACACAAGACTCTGACATAGGAGGGGGCCTGCTGGTAGGGGAACAGCTGCAGAGAGCTGGGCAGGGGGCGCCCATGAGGTGAGGGGAGAGGCAGAGAGACCTGTCACATAGGTACCTGTAGACCCTGAGGAGGAGTTTGGATTCCACACAGGAAGCTCCGGAAGGATTCTACAGGCAGGGAAGTGACATGGTTTGATTTGCATCTAGAAAAAGACCAGTCTCTTACCTTGTTGGCTGCACGTGTGGGGTGGTTTGGAGGGAGCGTGGGATAGAGGAATGGGGAGGAAGGCACATCATCTGGAAAGAGGAGGAGGGAGGAAGAGGAGGACATAAGTAATTTCTAGCCACAGGGAATAAGGCTCCTATCACCTGGCCCAGGAGGCTGCTGGGACGCTTGGAGCCATGGTAAACGCTGGGCTCCCTGTCCCCACAGGGCAAGTTCATCCGAATCCATTTCGGCACCACGGGGAAGCTGGCCTCTGCAGATATTGAAACTTGTAAGTAGATGCTCGGGACCGGATGTCTCAGGGAGGTGGGGGGCAGCTTGGAACACAGTGCTGTGTTGTGTTCGCAGATCTGCTGGAGAAATCAAGAGTGACTTTCCAGCTGAAGGCTGAGAGAAGCTACCACATCTTCTACCAGATTCTTTCCAACAAGAAGCCGGAGCTCATAGGTGAGCAAGTCCCCAGCGGGGCTGGTCTTTCAGGCACTTCGGCTCTGACATCGCTGGTCCAGGTAGAGCCGCACCTATATACATAGGGGACTCCGCAGACAGCAAAGTTTGTTTTCAAAATGAGATGTAGGTATATTGACAGTGACGTGCCCATTTGAAAAAAACAAAACAAAACAAAACAAATCCGATGGGCAGCAACAGATGAACTCACTACTGAACTCAGCGCTGGTTTATAAAAGCCTTTTGAGCAGCTAAACATTTAATTGACATGTAGCGCCCTCTTGTGTTCGAGCGCAGAAACCCATCTTTCACCAAATGCTGTGAGGCCTGTGGAGCGTCCCTGCCCTTTGTTCTGCACCTACAGGGGCCTGTGCACACGCTCCTCCACGCCCTTTGGCTGTGTGTGCTCAGCCTTCTGGTCCCAAGCCTGGGAACAGGCCGCAGCTTTTCAACCTGTGCTCCCCTCCCCCAGACTCCGCCAGCTTCCCTTTTCCCTGCTCTGAACCTACTTCACTAAGCGCCATTTGCAAGCAGAGCAAGACTTTAAATACTGCCCTCTGCCTGGGTTCCTCCTCTGCACTGCACGGGCCGGCTGCACTGTCTTCCCCGCACACTTTATATCCAGGCAGAGCCTGAGCACCGAGAGGCTGTTGAGAGATCTCTAACTAACTCTAAATCCAATTTGGGCTCCAGCAGTAAGAGTTTCAAACCTGAACGTAGGAGGAGCTCAAACCCACTGGTGGATGTTCTCTTCGAATCTATGCGACCTCCTCTAACTACTCATTTCAGAGCTGCTGCTGATTACGACCAACCCTTACGACTACCCGTTCATCAGCCAGGGCGAGATCCTGGTGGCCAGCATTGACGATGCGGAGGAGCTGCTGGCCACGGATGTAAGTAGAACAGAGAGAGGTGCGGGTGCTGGTCCTGGCCCCTGGGCTCAGCCGGCTGACGTGCCCTTCTTTCCATGGCAGAGTGCCATTGACATCCTGGGCTTCACTGCAGAGGAGAAGTCCGGGATCTACAAGCTCACGGGCGCCGTGATGCACTATGGGAACATGAAGTTCAAGCAGAAGCAGCGGGAGGAGCAGGCGGAGCCCGACGGCACCGAAGGTACAAAGTCACCGAGACGGGGTGCAAGCCAAGCATGTCAAACTCATGGCCAGTGGGCCGCATGCCGTGAGTTTGACATGCTTGGTGTAAGCCAAGGTCGGTGGGTGTTCGACTGAGGCTGTTTGAACCTCTCCAGGGCTCAGATGCCTGTAGGCACTGGTAGCACCGTGTTTGCCGAACGGCTAGAATGGCCCGGTTTCAGCTGCAATGAGCAGTGATCGGAGCTTTCTGGAACCCCTCTGCCTTTCAGACAATCTCAGTGGCTGCAGGTAGCCGTTTAGAGATACGAAAAGTAAAACCCCCCCGAGACAAACGGAGCCACCTCTGCAGCATCTGGATGACTTTCAAAGCGTCTCTTCTTCGTTGCCAACTTCAGGGCTTCCCTTTGAACCGTCTTTCTTCTCTTGGCAGTGGCTGACAAGACAGCCTACCTGATGGGCCTGAACTCCTCAGACCTCCTGAAAGCCCTGTGCTTCCCCCGGGTGAAAGTCGGGAATGAGTACGTGACCAAAGGTCAAACGGTGGACCAGGTAGGCGGCCCTTCGGGGCGGGGCGGGGAAGGGATGCGGGTCCAGGGCGGCCGCTGCCGGCAGGCTCACGCTGGTCTTGCCCACAGGTCCACCATGCTGTGAACGCCCTCTCCAAGTCAGTTTACGAAAAGCTGTTTCTGTGGATGGTCACGCGCATCAACCAGCAGCTGGACACGAAGCTGCCCAGACAGCACTTCATTGGGGTTTTGGACATCGCTGGCTTCGAGATCTTCGAGGTTTGCGTTGCTCGTGCTTTCATGCGGCCCGTGTGAGGGGATTGGTTCCCATGATTCTGTAGGGGCGATGTTGAGGTGGCCGCCTTGTCACAGCATCACATCTTGTAGGAAAACTGACGGAGGGTGAATCAAGCAGAAGAGAATGTGAGGAGGGTTTGTATGATTTTAAGAGGGGTTGTATTGCTTTAAGGGAGGGGAATATTTGTGTCAAGTACAATTTTAAAGGCTTAGCCCAATGAATAAAAAAATATCTCAAATGCAATTACTGACTTAGGGAGAGCCAAGCAAATAATTTGATAATAAGCCAATCATGCAATATTTTACATAAATATCCTCCTAGCATAGCGCCATTCATCGAAGTGTATACTGGTGTCTACCAGATAGAAGACATGCAGGTAAATAAAAGATGAGCTTGCAGTCTGTAGAGGAAGATGAGAAGTGTATCGGGCGCACTGGAGAGTAACTCCAAAATAAGACTGTGGTGGGCGCACAGGCGAGGCCCCGGCCCTGGGAGCTCAGGAGAGGGAGACACACCTGCTAGACGGAGGTGCAGAGGAGACTCCAAACAGGAGGCATGGCCTGAGCTCGGCCCTGGAGACTGTGACCATCTCTGAAAGCGCAATGAGCTGGCGGGAGCCGAGCAACGAGGGGGGCGGGGGATGGGTCTTTGCCTTAGAAAGAGGTCTAACTTTTCACACGAACATTGCATTTTGGTGTCAGTACAACAGCCTGGAGCAGCTGTGCATCAACTTCACCAACGAGAAACTGCAACAGTTTTTCAACCACCACATGTTCGTGCTGGAGCAGGAGGAGTACAAGAAGGAAGGCATCGAGTGGACGTTCATCGACTTCGGGATGGACCTGGCTGCCTGCATCGAGCTCATCGAGAAGGTATCCTGTCTGTCCACTCTGGCCTCTCCTCGCACCCTCCGCTGTTCACCACCGCAGCACTTGTTTACCCACCTGCATTTCGCCCTAATCTAGCCCATGGGCATCTTCTCCATCCTGGAGGAGGAGTGCATGTTCCCCAAGGCCACAGACACCTCCTTCAAGAACAAGCTGCATGACCAGCACCTGGGCAAGTCCAGCAATTTCCAGAAGCCCAAGGTCGTCAAAGGCAAGGCCGAGGCCCACTTCTCGCTGGTGCACTACGCGGGCACCGTGGACTACAGCGTCTCGGGCTGGCTGGAGAAGAACAAGGACCCCCTGAACGAGACCGTGGTCGGGCTGTACCAGAAGTCCTCCAACAGGCTCCTGGCTCACCTCTACGCCACCTTTGCTACCACGGACGGTAACCGACTCCCCAGAGTGCCCTGTAGTCATGCCTCCTCCTTCCAGTTCAGCCCACAGGACCCCCAAATCCCTAGCGGCCTGCTAACAAGCGCGCGCCAACGTCATTTCTTCCAGCTGACAGCGGGAAGAAGAAAGTTGCCAAGAAGAAGGGCTCGTCCTTCCAAACTGTCTCTGCCCTTTTCAGGGTAAGGAAGACACGCGTTGATCTGCTTGTAGCTGGTTTGAGTCATTGCAACATGAGCAATGCAGAGATTCTAAACCGGTTTATTCGAGAACAGCAGTGTGGTCTTAATCTGGTCGCTGTCACTTGGTGAGGTGCTGGTGTGATGATGTGTAAGGGAGGTCTGACCGAGGTAGGACTGGAACTTAGGGATCATTTGGTTCTGTAACTAGCTGGGCTGGCTGGCCTGGGAGTGGGTCCTCCACATGAATTTTCTCACTTGCCCGAAGGACACGGGCAGGAGCACCTCATTCACCCAGGGGGCTGCTACATCTCTTGCATTGATTTCAGTGGGCATTTTCTATTTCCTAGTCTCTGGCCCGCTGTGAAACAAAAAACGATTATTATATAAGGTTGTGGGTTTTTGTTTTTTTTTTAAAATATATTTTTATTGATTTTTCACAGAGAGGAAGGGAGAGAGATAGAGAGTCAGAAACATCGATGAGAGAGATACATCGATCAGCCGCCTCCTGCACATCTCCCACCGGGGATGTGCCCGCAACCCAGATACATGCCCTCGACCGGAATCGAACCCGGGACCCCTCAGTCCGCAGGCCGACACTCTATCCACTGAGCCAAACTGGTTTCGGCAAGGTTGTGGGTTTTGTGTGTGTGTGTGTGTTTTGCCTACTCCTCTAGCCATAGGACTATTAAAAGCAAGAGTTAAATAGTTCCATCATTCTTCAGAATCCATGATAAGTTTAAAATATGCATCTTACTTTTCATTACAATATTTCTCTGTGTTTGTAAAAGTCTACAGTAAGCTGTCAAATTTAACCTTTTTCTTTCAGGAAAACCTGAACAAGCTAATGTCCAATTTAAGAACTACGCACCCTCACTTTGTGCGCTGTATAATTCCCAACGAAACCAAAACCCCAGGTGAGACAGCGGCGGCTCTCTGGGTGCGGCCGGTCTCCGGAAATGCTGTGCAGAGCTGACATCCTTGCTTCCTCCCTCAGGGGCCATGGAGCACAGCCTGGTCCTGCACCAGCTGCGCTGTAACGGGGTTCTGGAGGGCATCCGCATCTGCCGGAAGGGCTTCCCCAACCGCATTCTCTACGGGGATTTTAAACAGAGGTGTGTCATAAATATTCTACACGATTCTTTTTTTAAAAATATATTTTATTGATTTTTTTACAGAGAGGAAGGGAGAGGGATAGAGAGTTAGAAACATCGATGAGAGAGGAGCATCGATCAGCTGCCTCCTGCACATTCCCTACTGGGGATGTGCCCGCAACCAAGGTACATGCCCTTGACCGGAATCGAACCTGGGACCCTTGGGTCTGCAGGCCGACGCTCTATCCACTGAGCCAAACCGGCTAGGGCTCTACATGATTCTTGATAAGATGTGCACATACTGGAAATTGAGAGAGAGAAATACTGATGAAAAAAACACTTCAACAGAACAGTTAGGGACCTTCCGTATAATATGAATAACCTTCCACGTGACCACAGTGTACATCCTTCCTCCATGTTTTCTCAGGAGCTTATCTGATGAGCATATGGCAGAAAGCACCTGGACTGGGGATCGGGAGGCCGAGCCTCTAGGCCAGTGATGACGAACCTATGACATGCGTGTCAGAGGTGACACGCGAACTCATTTTTTGGGTTGATTTTTCTTTGTTAAATGGCATTTAAATATTAACATAAATATCAAAAATATAAGCCTTTGTTTTACTATGGTTGCAAATATCAAAAAATTTCTATATGTGACACAGCACCCGAGTTAAGTTAGGGTTTTTCAAAATGCTGACACGCCGAGCTCAAAAGGTTCGCCATCACTGCTCTAGGCCGTGACCCAGCATGTGACTATGACGGCTTTCTTTCTCTTTCTGGACCTTGGCTTTCTTCACAGGAAGAGAGACTGAACTGGATGGTTTCCGAGGTCAGTGATTTTGCTAATAGTCTCTGATGGCTTCTGTGTCTGCAATGGCAGATACCGCGTGCTGAATGCCAGTGCGATCCCAGAGGGACAGTTCATCGACAGCAAGAAGGCTTGTGAGAAGCTGCTGGCCTCCATCGACATTGACCACACGCAGTACAAATTCGGACACACCAAGGTGAGCCTCCGTCCTGACAGCTGCTGGCCTTGAGTGCCTGGTCGACCTCCGCAGACACGGACCCACGCCGGCCTTCTCCCCTCTAAGGTGTTCTTCAAAGCCGGCTTGCTGGGAACCCTGGAAGAAATGCGCGATGACCGCCTGGCCAAACTGATCACTCGGACGCAGGCTGTGTGCAGAGGGTTTCTCATGCGCGTGGAATTCCAGAAGATGGTGCAGAGAAGGTGAGTGGGGTCTGTATTCAGACATGAGGTCTTCTGAGGATGTTGGGGGGGGGGTGTCTCTCTGAGAAATAACCAATATTTTGTTTTTAGGGAGTCCATCTTCTGCATCCAGTACAATGTCCGCGCCTTCATGAACGTCAAGCACTGGCCCTGGATGAAGCTCTTCTTCAAGATCAAGCCCCTCCTCAAGAGCGCGGAGACCGAGAAGGAGATGGCCACCATGAAGGAGGAGTTCCAGAAGACCAAGGAGGAGCTGGCCAGGTCGGAGGCGAAGAGGAAGGAGCTGGAGGAGAAGCTGGTGACTCTCGTCCAAGAGAAGAATGACCTGCTGCTCCAAGTGCAGGCTGTATGTGTTCAGAAATCTTTCTGTTCTCACTTTTCTTCTAGAATCGATTTTTTAAAAAAATATATTTTATTGATTTTTTACAGAGAGGAAGGGAGAGAGATAGAGAGTTAGAAACATCGATGAGAGAGAAACATCGATCAGCTGCCTCCTGCACACTCCCTACTGGGGATGTGCCCGCAACCCAGGTACATGCCCTTGACCGGAATCGAACCTGGGACCCTTCAGTCCACAGACCGACGCTCTGTCCACTGAGCCAAACCGGTTTCGGCATAGAATCGATTATTTAAGAAAACTAGAATTTTGGTGGAAGTTTTGCTTTTCGGTTCAGATGCTTCATAAAGAGCTTCACCTATAACAAAATACTGGAATGTCACACGCCTCATCTCATTAAAGCACATCATGATTCTTTCCTTAAAGGAATGTGAAAACTTGCTGGATGCCGAGGAAAGGTGTGATCAGCTGATCAAAGCCAAATTCCAGCTGGAGGCTAAAATCAAGGAGGTGACCGAGAGAGCCGAGGATGAGGAGGAGATCAATGCTGAGCTGACGGCCAAGAAGAGGAAACTGGAGGACGAATGTTCAGAACTGAAGAAAGACATCGATGACCTTGAGCTGACACTGGCCAAGGTTGAAAAGGAGAAGCATGCCACAGAGAACAAGGTACTCTCTTTGTGGGTCTTTCCCGTATGATGTTGTCATTGCAAACCAAGCTGTATCTCTTCTTACAGTTGCTTGTGGCTTCTTTGTAGGTTAAAAACCTGACTGAGGAGCTGGCTGGGTTGGATGAAACCATCGCAAAGTTAACCAGGGAGAAGAAGGCCCTCCAGGAGGCCCACCAGCAGACCCTGGACGACCTCCAAGCTGAAGAAGACAAAGTCAATTCTTTGAGTAAAACCAAGAGCAAACTGGAACAGCAAGTCGATGATGTGAGTAAACGCTGCTAGTTGGCAGGCCTAGAACTTCAGGGCTGAAAGAGCTGCCCTCCCCCCTCCCCAACCCTCTGGCGCAAAAGCATTTGTTCTCAAAAAGGAAATGATGCCTTTTGCAGCTGGAAAACTCCCTAGAGCAAGAAAAAAAGCTCCGGGTAGACCTGGAACGGAACAAAAGGAAGCTGGAGGGAGACTTGAAGCTTGCCCACGAGTCCATATCGGATCTGGAGAATGACAAGCAACAGCTGGATGAAAGGCTCAAGAAGTATGCGCTCAAACCACTGGTTTCAGTTTTGCAACTTACTGAGTGATTTACATTCTGCAAGTTAACTGGTATTTTGTCTTCACACATTCTCCATTTCCCTCCACAGGAAGGATTTTGAATATAGTCAACTGCAGAGCAAAGTGGAAGATGAGCAGACCCTGGGCCTCCAGTTTCAGAAGAAAATCAAAGAGCTCCAGGTAGGAGGTGTTTGGGATTTCTCTTTTACATGCCGGCCACTCCCAGTGCACTGGGTGTTCTGTGCTACGAGCCATTTTGAGCCAGTGATCATGCCATGGGCCTGCCTGCCTCAGCGGTTTCCTTTCTGCTAGGTGCCAGCGCGTGTGAATAATGTTTTATATAATCTTAAGTAAAATCCATAATTGAAGTATTTGAGTCAAGAGTTCATTGGATGGGCAATATCCTGGGTTGATCACCGCGGGGTAAGGGCCATGTTGGTGCAGGAAAAGGTCACATTAAAGAAAATTAGCAATCTTCCTATCTCTCTGGGAGCGGTTCCAGAATTGGTTTATTAATGGGGGTGGAAACTAGCCTGCTCTTGGCATGCCGAGTGAGTGGCTCGGGGACTGACTGGCTCACAGGCTCGCATCGAGGAGCTGGAAGAAGAGATTGAGGCAGAGAGGGCGACTCGTGCAAAGGCAGAGAAGCAGCGCTGTGACTACGCCCGGGAACTGGAGGAGCTGAGTGAGCGGCTGGAGGAGGCGGGAGGCGTCACCTCCACCCAGATCGAGCTGAACAAGAAGCGGGAGGCCGAGTTCCTGAAACTGCGCCGGGACCTGGAGGAGGCCACCCTGCAGCACGAAGCCACGGCGGCCGCTCTGAGGAAGAAGCACGCAGACAGCGTGGCCGAGCTCGCCGAGCAGATAGACAACCTGCAGAGGGTCAAGCAGAAGCTGGAGAAGGAGAAGAGCGAGTTCAAACTGGAGATCGACGACCTCGCCAGCAACGTGGAGAGTGTGTCGAAATCCAAGGTACCCGGGCACAGTGCTTTGGATGCGAGAGACCTCTTGGGTCATTCAGATCTCAAGGCGGACTGACTTTTCTCCTCTTTCTCAATCCTGTAGGCAAATCTGGAGAAAATATGCCGCACTCTGGAGGATCAGCTAAGTGAGGCCAGGGGCAAGAACGAGGAGGCTCTGAGGAGCATGAGCGAGCTGACGGCACAGAAGTCTCGTCTTCAGACAGAGGCTGGTGAGCGGTGGGAGACGGGAGGGGCACCCCTCAGAGAGCCTAACAGGGGCCGCTGGGCAAAACAAAAGAGTCGACTTTGTTTGGGGGAGAATTGCTACAAAAGTACTTTTTCAGGAAAGAAACTATTGGAATAACCCAGAAAGAGAGCCGTTCAAAATATTCTGAAGGAGGAGAACAGAGTGCGAGTTCAGTAAGAACAAGAGAGAGAGGCAGGCCAGGAAGAGAAGGGACTCAAGCTGTCATGTGGTTGAAACTCTTTCAGAAGGAATAGAACCTGAGCTGAAAGAGGCCGAGAGGCAGAACTCGGGCTAGAAACCGAGCCCCAGGGCCTTCCTACTTCTTGCTGCACGTGTTTTCGGATCGTCTGTGATCAAGACAATAAGGAAAGGAACATGGCCACTTCGCATGGGCTGTTGGTGTGCACTAAATATTAGGGGCCATTATTGGGGGCTTTCCCTGGGAATCTGGCTTCCCCAGCCCTGGGCCTGCAGCCCATCATCACAGGTGGACCAATCCCTCACCAGCAGCCACAACAAGGCAGTGAAGACAGGAAGCTTAGTTGCCATTCCAAAATAACCTTTGGGTTCTAGAGTCCTAAAGCCTCTCACCCCCTCCTTTCTTCTCTTCCCTCCATATACATGCAAACCTGAACTTAGCATATTCATCCAGGAGACTGCCTTCAAATCGTTAGAGATAGCGAGTCCTTGGAAAAGCACTATTTCCCTTAATGACAAATCGACAAACAGCTGGAAACACCAGCCACTGGGAGTTCTGGAGGGAGTGTTTCCGTGTCCCTGGTCATGTCTGAATTTACACTTGTCCCCATGAGTTATGTTGACAGAGTCACTTCACATTTCTCGTCATTTACAACAATACTTACCAGGTCGGGCTTTCATTTTCCTTCTCACGGACTCACCGCTTCACCCCCAAGAAAGGACCACACCTTACCATTTACTCTCTCCCCAGATCTTCTTACAGCGCCTTACACACTGTAGGAACTTGCTAAGTGAATGAATTAATGGGTGCACTCATGAAACCTTTCTTCTGGGCACAGGGGAGCTGAGTCGTCAACTGGAAGAAAAGGAAAGTATAGTATCCCAGCTCTCTAGGAGCAAGCAAGCTTTCACCCAGCAAACCGAGGAGCTCAAGAGGCAGCTGGAGGAAGAGAACAAGGTACTATCCGAGCGAGGGCTTCTCTGAACTAGTTTTCAAGTACCACCGGGCAACTTTGTTCAGTAGGTGCCGAGAGGGGGAACAGCCTTGGATTGTGACATGCACACGGCATTAAAATATCAATCCCCCAGGGGCTCCTCTCTTTCTTAACCATTTTTAGGCCAAGAACGCCCTGGCCCACGCCCTGCAGTCCTCCCGCCACGACTGTGACCTGCTGCGGGAACAGTATGAGGAGGAGCAGGAAGCCAAGGCCGAGCTGCAGAGGGCGCTGTCCAAGGCCAACAGCGAGGTTGCCCAGTGGAGGACCAAGTACGAGACGGACGCCATCCAGCGCACGGAGGAGCTGGAGGAGGCCAAGTGCGCAACTCTATTTACCTTTAGAACTTGAACCCTTAAATGAGCGGTTCTCAACCTGTGGGTCGCCACCCCTTTGGGGGTCGAACGACCCTTTCATAGGGGTCGTCTAAGACCATCGGAAAACACATATATAATTACATATTGTTTTTGAGATTAATCATTATGCTTTAATTATGTTCAATTTGTAACAATGAAATTGGGGGTCACCACAACATGAGGAACTGTATGAAAGGGTCGCGGCATTAGGAAGGTTGAGAACCACTGTCTTAAATGATCATGTGATAGAGGGCACTGACTCTATAACTGCTAGGGAATGAACTTGTTTTGTGACTAGATGTCCCCCCATCTCACGCCTTTGCGTGCGGTGCTGTGCCATTGGAGGGACCCGCCATTGCGCATTTCCTAAGACAGGCCACTTGGATCTTGGCTAGAGGCAAGGCAGGCTGTGGGTCACTGATTTCCAGCAGCCAGGAGGCTCTCCTGAGCTTAGGAGAGCAAATGCACGTTTGAATCACAAGGTTAGTGATTCCAACATGATGAACAGTGATGTCCAAGAGGCTGGAAACTGAAACGGCATCTGCTGCTCTTTCCCATCCTCCAAGGAAAAAGCTCGCTCAGCGCCTTCAGGATTCCGAGGAACAGGTTGAGGCAGTGAATGCGAAGTGTGCTTCCTTGGAGAAGACCAAGCAGAGGCTGCAAGGGGAGGTCGAGGATCTGATGGTGGACGTGGAAAGAGCCAACTCCATGGCCGCAGCTCTGGACAAGAAGCAGAGGAACTTTGACAAGGTGCGGGGTCAGCCCTGTGCTGCCGAACACTATGATGCGGGGAATACCTGTGGTTGTGAGGAGGAGACTGGGTCCCCTCCTGTCCTGCTGCACAGGGTCCTGTGAGGTTGGGCCAGTCCCTGAACTTCACTGAGCTCTGGTTTCCTCCTCTGTAAAATGAAATGGGAGTGGGATGGGGCTGGAGTTCCTTTCAAACATTGGCAGTGGAGACAAACTCGTTTCTACAAACATCTGTCCCGCCCCCCGCTGGCCTATCTGGGTAGCTGACGCGCAGGAACAGACCCTGGGAACTAGGAGAAGCTGTCTGGGAGCCTCCTGCTGAGATGGCAGAAAGGTTGCGTTGAACCAAAGTTTTAATGAAATCTTTAAAAGTGCAGGCCCATTTCCATGTTAGGAAAAGGGTAATTATGCTCAGCTAATTCCTTCTCAGAGGATCCATTTGCTTTTTGGAGACAATCGTTACTGATCAGTTATGGATCTTGAATAAATCCACAGAACAAAAATCTTAGCTAGTCCACCAATGAAGAGCAAGGAGCTGGGCAAGAGACACACACCCCAACTCTGAGCTTTCCCTCAGGGTGGCATGTAGTTAGAAGCCGGGGGCGGAGCTAGTCAGCGGGCCACCTCCTTGCCTGTCCCAGGTGCTGGCTGAATGGAAAACGAAGTCCCAGGAGAGCCAGGCGGAGCTGGAGGCGGCCCTGAAGGAATCCCGCACCCTGAGCACCGAACTCTTCAAACTGAAAAACGCCTACGAAGAAGCCTTAGATCAGCTTGAAACTGTGAAACGAGAAAACAAGAACTTGGAGCGTAAGCAGTTTAAACCTCCTGAGACCTCCCTCTCCCAGCTGCCGAGTGTGTGCGGGAGAGGGTGCCGCAGGCTCGAAGAGTGTTCATGGGAGGGGCTATTTTGGGGTCTTTCTCTCTAGAACAGTGGTTCTCAACCTTCCTACTGCCCTGACCCTTTAATACAGTTCCTCATGTTGTGGTGACCCCCAATTTCATTGTTACAAATTGAACATAATTAAAGCATAGTGATGAATCACAAAAACAGTATGTAATTATATATGTGTTTTCCGATGGTCTTAGGCGACCCCTGTGAAAGGGTTGTTCGACCCCCAAAAGGGTAGCGACCCACAGGTTGAGAACCGCTGCTCTAGAGAATCTTATCTGTAGGAAACAGTGTCCTTAGAATTGAAATAAACTAGTGAAAAGGATTTAGTTGATGCCACCTGTCCGGGAACCCGTGCAGAGGGGTTCAAATGCATCACAACTCACTTCTTTGCAGAGGAGATAGCGGACCTCACAGAGCAAATTGCTGAGAATGGCAAAACCATCCATGAACAGGAGAAATCGAGAAAGCAGATCGAGCTGGAGAAGGCAGACATCCAGCTGGCTCTGGAGGAAGCGGAGGTGAGCGGACGCTGGGGTGGCACAGGCGCCATGAGGCCATGGTGGGTGCCACCCTGGCAGGCTAGCTGGTCCCACCGTCTTCATTTTTGCCTCTGTAGAACCCACAGTCTGAAATCTGCACCCGTCCTATCAAACAGTGTAACTGCGAGATTGAATGGGATAATACTGTGAATTGTTTTAAATGTATTGGGAAAGTCATTACACTTAAAATAGGTCTAAAAATGAGATTTTACAAAATCTTAGATGAGTTTAAAATATGCACAGGGTTTCCCGGCTGTGGTGGCCCAGTGGATTGAGCATTGTCCCATGGACCAAGGGGTCCTGGGTTTGAGTCCAGGTCAGGACACATGCTTGGATTGTAGCTCGATCCCCAGTGGGGGGCTTATGCCATGGTGGGTGCCACCCTGGCAGGCTAGCTGGTCCCACCGTCTTCATTTTTGCCTCTGTAGAACCCACAGTCTGAAATCTGCACCCGTCCTATCAAACAGTGTAACTGCGAGATTGAATGGGATAATACTGTGAATTGTTTTAAATGTATTGGGAAAATCATTACACTTAAAATAGGTCTAAAAATGAGATTTTACAAAATCTTAGATGAGTTTAAAATATGCACAAGGTTTCCTGGCTGTGGTGGCCCAGTGGATTGAGCATTGTTCCATGGACCAAGGGGTCCCAGGTTTGAGTCCAGGTCAGGACACATGCCTGGGTTGTAGGCTCGATCCCCAGTGTGGGGCGTGCAGGAGGCAGCCAAGCAATGATTCTCTATCATCATTGATGTTTCTCTCCCCCTCTGAAATCAATAAAAATGTATTAAAAAATATGATCATTTAATGTTATCATTTCTTGATGATATAACCTAAACAAATAATCAATAAAAATATATTTAAAAAAATATGCACAAGGTATTTTATGCTCCTAAGAAATATGATCATTGCCCTAGCCGGTTTGGCTCAATGGATAGAGCATCGGCCTGTGGACTGAAAGACCCCAGGTTCGATTTAGGTCAAGGGCATATGCCGGGATGTGGGCTTATCCCCAGTAGGGGGCGTGCAGGAGGCAGCCAATCAATGATTCTCTATCATCATTGATGTTTCTCTCCCTTCCTCTCTGAAATCAATAAAAATATATTAAAAAAAGAAATATGGTCATTCAATGTTATCATTTCCTGATGATATAACCTAAACAAATAGTAAGGAAACATTTCATTTCTGCACTGAAGATAAATGAGGGATTTTGAATTGCAGAGTCAGGGTTATGAACATTCCATTGAAGCTTTATCACCCAGAAGGGCAGTGTGGCAGGCATGGCGCCGTCTCCGGCACTCTTCCCGTGTTTTGTTCTTTAAAGGCTGCCCTTGAGCACGAAGAGGCCAAGATCCTCCGTTCCACGAGACCTTCCCTTTTCTCTGGCCAGGACACCCAGCTACACCTGGATGACGCCCTCCGGGGCCAGGAGGACCTGAAGGAGCAGCTGGCGATCGTGGAGCGCAGAGCCAACCTGCTGCAGGCCGAGGTGGAGGAGCTGCGGGCGTCGCTGGAGCAGACGGAGAGGGCGCGGAAGCTGGCGGAACAAGAGCTCCTGGACTCCAACGAGAGGGTGCAGCTGCTGCACGCCCAGGTGCGCGCAGGGAGGTGGGGAGACATGGGGCGACTCAGCCCCGGACGCCTGGGTAACCCCGCTCCTCTCACCCCAGAACACCAGCCTCATCCACACCAAGAAGAAGCTGGAGACAGACCTCATGCAGCTCCAGAGCGAGGTTGAAGATGCCAGCAGGGACGCAAGGAATGCGGAAGAGAAAGCAAAGAAGGCCATCACAGATGTGAGCTTCCCCCAGAGCCTGTGTGGCAGCCCTGACCGTGTCATCAAAGCCCCTGCCCTCTCCCAACCCCGCGACAGTTCCCCTGAGACAGGTGGGGCTCCCCCAGGGCACACGTGGGGTGCATTCTGCTCTGAAACCACTGCCCACCTCCCTCAAACTCAGCTGTCCTCTCCTGCACATTTAAAAGGTGGATTTGAGAAATACGGAGCACAGAAAAAAACAAAAAGACCGGGAAGGATTACATTCTGTCTCTTATGCCCAAGGGGACTATGCTCTTCTCTCCCTCCACATATGACTTATTCCACATATAAAAGTGAGATCGACAGCTGTCAATATCCACCACATTTCACCTCACATGAAGTCGGCGTGGCTCCCAGCAGCATCGCTTTCTGGGCTCAGATGTTTTAAACTCTGAGGCCACAGCGCCCACAGCGCCACCTGCTGCCTGAGGAGGACATTACCTTGCAACTATTTTGCTCTCCTGCGGGTTCAGGCACACCCGGATTCCCTAGAGGCCTTCCCTTAAGCTCCCTGCCCCCATACCGGTGATGCCAGGGAGCAAAGCAGCCTTCTCTACGTTTCAGATCCCTTTGAGAAAATATATTGGTGATTACGAGATAACAAAAGAATTTCCTTGGGTGGGCAAAGTTCCTAGGAAGACAGCATTTCTCAGCCAGTCCCCGAGGTTCCTCTCTGTGCCTGGTGCAGCCCATTTCATATTCCCTATGAAGGGCGGCTCATCACCTTACCCGCGGCCCTTTCCATTAGCGTGGCTCTGGTCCTCTGGCCGCCCAGGTTCGGGCAGCTCCCCGGCGCCTGACCCCTGCCTGCATCTTAGTGGCTGTGATTGGCTTTGCAGGCAGCCATGATGGCCGAGGAGCTGAAGAAGGAGCAGGACACCAGCGCCCACCTGGAGCGGATGAAGAAGAACCTGGAGCAGACGGTGAAGGACCTGCAGCACCGCCTGGATGAGGCTGAGCAGCTGGCCCTGAAGGGCGGGAAGAAGCAGATCCAGAAGCTGGAGACGCGGGTACTCGCCGCGCAGACAGCTTCCCAGCTCCGCCCGTTCGGGCTCCAGCCCCAGACTAACCCCCCAACCGTGTCCCCAGATCCGAGAGCTGGAGCTGGAGCTTGAAGGGGAGCAGAAGAAGAACGCCGAGTCCGTGAAGGGCCTGCGGAAATATGAGCGGCGGGTCAAGGAGCTAACTTACCAGGTGAGTGGGAAGGACACCGGGGCCTTTCTGCTCCGTAAAGCGCAACCGACACCTCGGTTCTGTCTTGGAGATACAGGAGGGCACGCTTCAGCCCCAGGAACCCGGCGGGACCTCACGCCGCTCTCCATGCCCTGTTCCCGTTTCTAGAGTGAAGAGGACAGGAAGAATGTGCTGCGACTGCAGGATCTGGTGGACAAGCTGCAAGTGAAAGTCAAGACCTACAAGAGGCAGGCGGAGGAGGCGGTAAGTCAGCCGCGTGCGGGGCTCAGAACAGCAGGGGGCGCTCAGGGGGGTGCACGGGGACCTTACCTGCCGGGGCGCTTTGGTTTCAGGATGAACAAGCCAACGCGCATCTCACCAAATTCCGAAAGGCTCAGCATGAGCTCGAGGAGGCTGAAGAGCGGGCCGATATTGCGGAGTCTCAAGTCAATAAGCTTCGCGCTAAGACCCGAGACTTCGCCCCCGGCAGGGTAGGTGGCTCCCCCTGCCGCGGCGAGAGGGAGGGCAGCAGATGCGTGCGGGACTCGCAGCCCCTGGTGACCTGGGAAGGACCCGCTGTGATGTAGACATTTTTGAACTGGAAGGGGCCTTAGGGAGCCCTCAGTGTTAGAGCTGTGGACCCTGGGTTCAGGAAGGGAAGGGGTTTGCCTAAGGTCGCAGAGCTGAGAACAGCCCCGCTAGAGCCCAGGTCTGAGTCGCACGGAAAGACACGCCATTCTGGGAAGGAAGGAGAGGTTCCCCCTGAGACCTTTCAGTGCCCTCTGCTGGCACCGTCCTCAGTCGCGTTCCATGTGGATACCTGTAGGAGGAAGCCCAGTGTGGGGGGCTAGCTCTCCCAGGGCCAGTTTCTCATCTCTGGGTGAGTTCCTCCATGTGTGCCATTGTGCCTTCTCCTGAGATCCAACAAACACCCACGTCCCACTGAAATATACAAGCAAGCAACTGCCCGCAGCTCGCCAGGAGAGGGCGCAGGAGGCAACGTGTCGGCCACATGCCCTAACTCAGGCTGCCGCTGTCTTTGCAGATGGTGGTCCATGAGAGTGAGGAGTGAGCGACCCTCTTCTGGAACAGGGCAGAAGATATGCAAAATGTATATTTTCATGGTACCTGGCCATTTTACTTAATTTCCATGGAACTGCTTTTCACCTGCAATAAACTTTGCTTTGTTTTCAGTCGGGGGCTCTTTCATTGTTTTCTCTTAGTGGTGGGGAAGTGGTTCATTGTTTGGTGATTTTAGTGCTTAATTTGAAATCTCAGTAAGCAGATGGCTCCATCAACTGGTGCGTGTTTCTGGAGACAGGCAGAGATTGCTCTTGTTCAAATTTGAGATTAGCTCAGGAAAAAAAAAGTGCTCCTAGGGTAACCCCAGCTTTGGCAGTGGGAGGAGGAGAGGAGGACGAGTTTGTCAAGAGGCATCTCTCAACATGGCACGTGGGAAACCTAAGTTGAATAGGGTTAAAGGCAAGGGATTCCCCCTTCCACCCCCAATTCTATCAGGGAACCGAACCTCTGGGAAGTCTGTTGGTCAGACTTCACACAAGCACTGTGCTAACTCTTAGACATGCACAAATGAAGACCATACACGAGAAACCTGCCACTAGGTCCTTGGCTGGGTCTACACTAGTTCAAAGCCGCACAACAGAAAATCTTAGCTCTTACCCAGGGTAAACCTGTCTTTTTCTTAAAAGACAAAATAAGTAGGAAGTCAGAATAACTCTCTGACTGACCTGCTACTTGAAACAGCGTCTTCTAACTTGGAATCATTTGTTTATTGTCATAATTAAACGTACCGGAAATAGTTGTGAAGTTCCCTGCTTTATCTGGTTCTAGAAGATTGGAGATGACCAGTCTGACTCCAGGAGAATGACAGGCCCAGGGGGTCTCCTTGGCATCCAGCACCGAGTTCAGCACCTGCTGGATGTGTCATTTATAGAGAGGAGGCCATAATGGGGTCAGACTTGCCTATCAGTGACTTCAGATAATTCTGTCTCAAAGACCACTTTGAGCTTGACTTGCTTTCAGTACTCCAGGGCAACACTGTGACTAAAGCTGGGGTGTCCTCCTGGGGGTGCTGTCCCTGAAAGGGAATCGCAGCAGTGAGAGCGAGTCTGGTCCAGGCCTGAGGCCGTGCCATGGGCTGGAGTCCTCAGGGCCTCCCAGGACTTCCTGGCGCTGCCCTCTGTGGAAAGGGCAGGATAGAGAAAGCAAGCAGGGTTTCTCCTTACAGAGCTTTCCAACTGGTGAAGGAGGAATGGAAGAACTAGAATATCGTCATTTTTATGTGACTCACAAATCCCAAGTGAATGATGACTACTAGTATCACCAAAACATAGACAACCAGACATTATATGCCTCATGATAGGAGTGCATGCCACGGCCTGGGGAGAATTCTTGCCCCACAATCTAACTTGTGTCTGACCCAAGTTAGATGTCATCACCAACTTATAGGAAATGCAGGGGATCCAAGACACAACCAATGAACTCAGGATGTGGGGGTCTTAACGACAAACCATCTAGTTTTTTCAGTAAATAAATTGCAAGGAAAAGATATACAAGAAATAGAAGGAGGAACTATAGATTATATATTAAAATAGATTTAATGGACCTATCCATCAATTGCAGTGCATGGATCTTGTTAGGAGACACACACACACACACACACACACACACACACACACACGTACCTCAATTGGTGGAATTTGGAAATTGACTGAATATTTCACGATGATATGGCATTATCATTTATTTTCAAGATGTAATGTGATATTGTGATTATGTTTTCTAAGATAGTCCTTATCTTTTAAAAATATGTACTAAAATACAGATAAGAAAGGAAGTGAGAAAGAGAAAGGAGGGAGGAGGGTGGGCCATCTTTGAAGTGAACTTGTGTTATAGAATTTCTGACATAGAGAATTGAGAAGAGAGGCCCCTGATGCATTTTACACAAAACCAGGCCACAAACTTGAAAACCTCTGAGGCGTAAGGCCTGACACGCCCACTCATGGGCCGAGCATCAAAGGCGAGGAGTTGGGGTCTGAAAGCTACCCATGACCATCTCTGTGAGTCTGATTTTGGGAAGGATATAAATGGAAAAATTCATTTTCTAAGAGTTGTATTATGACCACCTCCGCCAGAGTGCATTTATTCCACAAAGCAGAGGATGCCGGGACTGTAGAAAACACAGCCCCGTTTCAGTGGAGAGAAAAGTGAAAGCACGAGTCTCATTCCAAAGAAGTCCCCCGGCCCGCAGCAGAGGGACGGAGAGGATGAGCTCAGCCACTATTTACTGAACTCTTAGCCCGGCTCTCCACACGTCCTGCCTCACGTCACTGGTGGAACAGCTCCGCGATGACACCATGGGTCTATCACTCTGCTTTCCAGCCGAGAAGAAACCAGAGCACAGTGTAACTTGCTCAGGCCAAAGTGGCAGAGTTGGGACTCCCTCTAGACCCCACAACTCCTTCCCACTACAAAACGCTGCCCACCACCAGCTGTGGGACAGTGAGAAACGCCCTGAGGAGTGGAGCAAGGGGCCAAGGTGTGTTACCACTGATAAGGCACAAAGCACAGGGTTTTTGTCTTTTGATTGTTGACTGTGTTACTGTCCTCCAGGCATTCCACTCTAACCCTTCTCTTGCTCATGGCTCAGCCTACCTGTCTTCTGAGAGTGCCCCTCAGGCCATTGGATCTCTCACGGGAGCCTGGTGATCTTCACTCATTGGTGCTTCTACTGGTTCTTTTGCACACGAGCCCATGCATAGGAGGCCCCAAAGGGCGAAAGGTCCCCCCTCTCCCAGCTAACTTCTTTGGGTGGAAGTTAAGTAAAGGGCCATTTTAAATTACTTTTTCTAGAAGGACTCACATTTCCCCTTTATTATTATTATTATTATTTTATTTTCCCCACTGTAATCCTGATATTATCCAGAAATCTCTGAACTCTGTACTGTGACCCAAATCTCTTAGCTATAGAGTTCCACTTGTATTATTTTAATAATTTATTAATTACACAAGAAATACATGCTCAGGCACAGGATTAAACGCCACCTGTCAACTATAAAAGGGTGGCCAGCTAGCGGGGTAGGCTCCTTCCTTATTGGGAACAGATGGGTCTTGACTGACGATTGGCAGGTGGCCCCTTCTTAAGGACATTGAGGGATGCAGGTCTATAAGAGGAACATGCCCTTAGAGGGGCACAGGCGGCCACCAACTGGGGGGGCAGCCCCGCCTTTCTCCACGCCTGGGTCACGGTGACAGCTGAGAGCTTTAATAGAGTGAAGGGCCTTGGAATGTGGGCTGAGGAGGCCGCCCAGAACACGGAGTCTATTTCCACCCGGCCAGTAATCCCACCGCTAAAAACAGCGAGGCCGAGAGGCCCTGCGGCTGCTTGCTGGAGCCCCGCCGGCGATCCAGTTACCCCCGCGATGCTGAGACATTCCGGAGGTGCTCAGGGCCCGGCAGCGGCCCCCGGGAGCAGGGCCCAGATGGCGCTGGGTATTTTTAGCTAAGATGTTTCAGCCCTTCCATGGCAGTGAGCAAGGAGCCCCGGAGCCTGGGCATGGGGGGCCTTCTCCATGTTCTCACTCCTTCAGGAGCCTCGCAGAGATGTCGGGAGCGGGTAATAGGCACCCCAGGCCACCTTGGTCAAGTACCCTGACACCAGCTTGCTGAGAGAAGGGGCAGCTTTGGTAAAGAAGATGGACTGCTGTCACCAGCATGGGGCGACCCAGTGACCCAGCAATACAACTAAATGAGACCGAATGTGAAGCTCAAGGACAGTGAAGGAAATATAAATCATAATGATGAAAAACAGTCGTGGGAAACTGAGGAATGGGATGGGTGACATGCTTTTATAGCCCGAGACCAAAAGAAAGCCTATTCCTCTAGCAATGAGCACAATGGTGTGTACACAGCAGGTGCTCAATGAGTGCTTGAACTGGATTCCTAGGAGAAAAAGTGAAGTGGTGGGGGAATCATGTGCCCTGGAGTAAAACACATGCTTTCTATGCTGATTTTCTGCTCTGCACAGCCCATAAAATAAAAGGCTAATATGCAAATCGACCAGTGGAATGACTAGTTGCTATGATGTGCACTGACCACCAGGGGACAGACACTCAACGTGGGAGCTGCCCCCTGTTGGTCAGTGCGCTCCCACAGCCAACCTTCTATGGCCGGCCAACCTTCTGTGGTCCTTCCCCGCTGGCCAGCCAGCCCAGATTGCCCCGATCGGGGCTGGGCGAGACGGCCCTCATCAGCCCTGATTACAGGTCAGGCCAAGGAACCCCACCCACGCACAAATTCATGCACCGGGTCTCTAGTCAGTGATAAAAACCATAATAAGTCAGAAGCCGTCCTTCACAAATCTGAGAGAAAACACAGCC